TGTGGCATCTCCAGCGTCGCCTGCTGCCCCGTCCCCCACCAGCCACTGCCTTGTAAACCTCCGATTATAGACATTCCCATCGCTCATCCCAGCAGGGCCCAGAGGTGTTCCTGGAGCACAGCAACGACAGGGCTTCACGTGAATGAGGGAAAACCCGTTGGTGAACTACGAGCATCTGTAAAACAACCCTCCTGCAAAGGCGTTGTCACCCTTCGATGGAACACGACAAACGGACCCTGCGCAGGACGGCAGGATTCAGAAGAGACGTCGCTAAAAACGGCGCGTTCCGCCAGCGAGCCCGGCGCCTTGCGTGCTGATTCTCCGTGATGCCTGACAGCAGCCAGGGGATAAACCTCTCCTACATTTTTCTGGGCGGCGTAGAAAAGTTAACATTTGATAGCTGAACGCTCCGAGATGCTTTGGTGGAAAACTAACGCCGGTAGGAAACACCCTGAGCAAACCGAGACCCTCGTACCCCACGTGCTGGTTTTCCTTTAGGTCAATTAATTTGAAAAGTCCCCCGCAGCACGCGGTCGGGTTTCACACCTCAAACCAGAGCCGGTGGCAGCCGAGAGGCTTTGGGGGAAGGGGCAGCGCGACCACGGACGAGACTTTTCCCCCCGCCCCGCTCAGAGCGGCCTTTGTGGAGGGCAGAAGAAGCGGGGCTTTATGGCGGCGAACATTGGGCCTTTGTGCGCCGCATTCCGCGCGCGCTGCCGGGGGACGGCAGCTGTTTGCATGGCAGCCCTCGACAGAGCGGGGACACTTCACAGCTCTGAAAGGCCATTCTGTAAATGTCAAAGGGCCACCCTGTCTGGCCACCGCCGCCTCCGCGGCCCCGGCTCTCCCACCAAGGATGCCCTTCGCCACTGGGAAAGCCGGGGATCTCCAGCCTGGGGCTGTGCCGTCTCCTCCGGGTGCCCAGCCCCAACCGCCAAGACTTCAGAGGCTGGGGAGGGAGGAAGTGATGGGAAGAGCATGATGGCCCAGGAGAGCAAGGTTAGA